TGGGAACTTGGGAGCTTCAGTTTGAGGAGTTTTTTGGAAAAGGCCTGATGAATGGGACGCTGACGCTGGACCCGTTTGCCAGCACTCGCCGAAGCAGGAAGGGAGTGGCCCCAGAATTTTTCCGGGTACTATGGTGAGGTCCCCGGCCTCGTCTCATTGATACAATATAAAGGAAAAAAAATTTTTAAAAAAAAAAAAAAAAAAAAAAAAAAACCAGAGAAGACAAAAAAAAAAAAGGTCGCTCAATCTGAACGGAAAAAGCATCGAAGAGAAAAAGGAAAATAGATAGTAAAAAAAAAGAATTAGAAAGGAAATCACGCCCGGACGGGCCGCCATAGGCTCTATTAGTCTATGATATAGACCCATGTAAGAAAAAGAGAAGTGGGAAGCAGGGCGCGAAGGGGCCCCTGCTATATCCAAAATAATGCATTGGGTGGATTCCTTGGAATTGAGAAATGGCAAAAAAAATTGTGGGGGGTGGGGGGGGGGGAGAGGGGGAGGGGAGGAGGAGGTTATGGGAAGAGGTGTGTTTTGGAGTTTTCATCTCCAGGGCTCTGTTTCTGAAGAGAAGGTTGTGTCGCTGGATGATGGTCTCGGTGCTGAGATCCCGGCGGAGTGTTCCTCCTCACCTCCTTCTCTCCTTGGCCCTCACTACTCTTGGCTCATAAGCTAAACTGGGTAATGCTCCCGGTTGAATTGTTTTTATTTATTATTATATATATATTTATATATATATTAAACTGATCAGAACAGATACTACACTTGATCTTAGCCAAAAGGCCGTCCCTTTTGTGATGTAATATGAATTTCAGATTGAAAAAAAATAAAATAAAAAAATTACCCATCAGGTTTTCATTTACCCAAATTTTCCTGTATAACCCGGGGCGAGGTTGCACTTGCAAAGAGGGTTGGATTTAGCGCCTGAATTTGGACGTGTTTTATGCCGAGATGCAGGAATGCCAACCAGACGAGATTTTCTGCACCTCTCCACAAATGCATCCAGATTCAGGGGTTGAATTGGATCCTCTCTGCCAGTGGGATCTCGTCTCGCCCTGGATCGATTCTGCTCTCTTCTCATTCCTGTTTCTTCCCCCTTTTTTTGGGATTGGGGCTTTTTTCCTAATTCACCGCCTTCTTTTTTTTTTTTTTTCCCTGGTTTCGTATCTTATATTCCATAAAGCGGAGAAGGAAAGAGATCTCTCAGAGGTTCTCTCTACCATATCCCCATGGGCTGATGGCGGCAGGATTTTTCAATTTTCAATTAATATTTAAATATTTATGTACATCAATAAATTGATAGCATGTCCTCATTTTCTTTTTGTCTGGGTTTGTATACCATAAAGCGGAGAAGGATTAAGATCTCCCAGAGATTCTCTCTACCATTATCCCTATGGTCTGATGATGCCGACAGGATTTTTCATTTTTTAATTATTAATAAGTAATATTTATGTACATCAATAACATGATGGTGTATCTTATTTTCTTCCTCGTCCGTGTTTTTTTTTTTTTTTTTTTTTTTTTTTTTTTGGCAATTGGAATGCATACATGAATCTTGCCTAGAACTCATTGACAGATGCGTCGGGTCCAAGATCTGGGTCATCATGAAGGGAGACAAAGAGCTAGTTGGCACGCTTCGAGGTTTCGATGCCTACGTCAATATGGTTCTTGAAGACGTCACCGAATAGTGAGTGCCACGTCACCTGCGAATTATTATTATTATTTTTTTTGGCGAATGCTTTTTTTTTTTTCTTTTTTTTTCCGGCGAATGCAATATCCTGCCTCCCCTGTG